GTGAGCTTATGAAAATGCCTTTCTTTGCCAGATCTCCTGTCTTTCAAACATTTGGATTCCCCATAAGTCTACTGAGCTGGAGCACTATCCCCTTTATGTAAACTTCATTGAGTCCTTTGCTTTATAAAGGTTTGATTCTATGTTTTTCATGAGTCCTGTTTTGATTTTATTAGATTGAAATACCATAATTTTTTATTTTTATTTTTTTTACACATCAGGGACTTAATTAACCCTGTGTAAACTGGAAATAGGCTCTTAATTATGCTCCTCATCTCTACCCTTTTAAAATATTTCTTACCCATCTCATTTTTGATTAGAATGTAATTTCTTATATGTTTTCAGCAAAATTTATTATTTATTCTTGTGTCCCTTATTAAATTCAAACTGCTGCAATGTCAGAGCCAGAGACTCAGAAATATGTCTACCTCTTGCTGTTTTTCCTTTTTGCAATGCTTAAAGAAATAAAGGAAAGCGGAAGTAAAACATTTCTCCAGTACTTCTCCAGTCATGGAATATACTTAAATCTTAATTTTAGACTTGGGGGGTTCCTTTGGTTCTTCTCTGCTTATTCATGAAAACAGACTAGTTTTCAGTCTTTGCTTTGAGATGAAGGTACCTGCTTTATTCTATGCTTAATCCCAAGTGATTGGTCTAGAAACAACAAATATGTGGAGCTCTTCTTTGGAAAACTCATTGCAGTAAAGGAAAGTTGTTAAACATCTGCCAAGACACTTATGGTCTCTGTTAAAATTTGTCCTAAAATCTTTCCCTTGCCACAATCCCCTGAAGGAAACTGGAAAAGAATAAGGAAGTCAGTGTGTGAAGACCTTTTGCCTGTGTTGTTTCTCAGTCCTGTGTCTCAATTTCCTCTTACTTCTGTTTGTATCTCTTTCCATACATCCCAGATCTTACATTTTGACCATAAGCTACATAAGGATGGGGTGGAGGCAATACATTCACACAGTATGGTTGCTACTGGGATATAGATGGCTCAAGACAACATATAGCAAACCCAGCAAGGTAAGGGCTAGAATGCAGACATTCAAGGCTAACTGAGAACTGGTAGCATTAAAAAGTTGGAAAGAAATTTTACTTTTGTGTTAGATAATTATAGATGCTGTGAATATCAGGAAAGCTTGGATATAGTTGACTTTATTGTAGGGGAAACAAAGCCTAGCTTCCAGAAAAGAAATACCAATGATTGTATCAGAAAGAAAAACGACACTCAAATATTCACCCCCATCTTAAATCTTTTTGGACAATCTACTCATCAGCAGAAGCTCACAAGAACACCAAACCCCGTGTGCCCTAAGAAGTAGTGGAAAGAGAATTCCTCAGCTAATGCTGTTCTCACCTCTTCTGAGGCTGGATTGAGGGCACAGGCTTAGGATTGGAGAGCAGCATTTACAAAACCAGGTTAAAAGCTGAGAAAAAGGCAACAATTATGAGAGACTTAAAAATTAGTAGTTTTGTGATGTGGATTGTGATTCCTTCAGGAACTAAGTCTGATCCACCAAACTTGTTTATATCTAGGCCTTCACTTAAATTAACCAGGTTTTAGTCCTTTAATAGTAATGAAACAGTATTTTTCCAGTCACTCTGTTATTTCCTTTTCTCTTTACCTCTTGTTTTGTGCAAAAAATTTTTTCTTCAGCCATACCACTTAGAGGTCTGGATTTTTTTCAAATGACAGAGCACTTTGAAACCCCAATAGGTTTGTGGCAAACGAATGTGGTAAAAATGTGAACTGTTCAACATAGTAAGGCATGATCTCACATTTTGAGTTTAGCATAATATCCTGAAACCAGATACTTATGCAAATTATAAGAATTTCTTCTCCCCATTACATCTCAAGCAATTTACCAAGCAAGTTCCTGTCACAGAAAAAAAACATGGGCATCATGAGACAGGCTTACAAGTGTGAAAATAATTTTGTGAATAAAAACATTTTGCAATGGGAATTCTGACAGGGTATCAGCAGGAAGGTTTGCCCTAATAAGTGTTCAGTGAAGAAAAGCAAATCACTAGAATGCAAGTGACTAACCCAAAATGAGAAAGAAACTTATATGAGAAACCTAGTTATTTAACTTCCTAGCAATCTGAGTAATCACAGTAGTGCAGTCCAGTGTAAAACTGCGTGTTCCTCCCTCAGCTAAGTTCAAAGAGGTCGTGAAGCCCAAGCGACTCCTAAGATGAACCCTTTTTTTAAGGGTTGCACTGCAAGACCTCAGTCCTCTCCCCTGGTCTGACACTTTGCTGTGGTAGCATATGTAAAGTATAAAGGTTTTCTGTGACATGGGAATTAATAGCACCCCTAAGAACAACAGTATAAGTTCTCTTATACAAGAGAACTACAGTATAAGTAAGTGCATTAAAGGGAAGAAGAATATTGTATTGATCTTTTGGAGCACAAAGCACAAGCTTTTAGAAACAGCCTGAGGAATAACCTCACTCTAAAGACCTGAATCTCAAAGTCAAAATTAGGGCTCTTCTTTCAGCCATTCCCTTGTCTGGCCACTAAACCATGTGTAAGGTTCCATTCATGGGAAAGGGTGAAAGATGAAGAGTTCCCAAGATAAAAGAGTCAGGACAGGAAGATTCCAGACTACACAGACAAGAAGGTGCAGTAACTAGGTAAGATAGGTCCAGTGGCTGTAGCCCACAAAGCATGGCCTGCATTTTTCATATGATATATTCAGGGAAGGAAGGGCAAGCAGAAGTCCAGAGACTCTTGACCAGCTGAAGAGTAGTTAGATAAGGGACAAAGAGGAGAGAAAAGGTGTCTCTAGTGATTTTTGTGGATTTCATTTTAGTGGAGAACACCTTCTGTTATCAGTACCTTGTTTCATGCTGTAACTGAGCTGGAAAGGATGGGAGCAGTGAAAATGAGATCTTATTTGGAAAAAGATCTCTTCCACTGCATGATCTACCTGCTGTCTGCATACATTAACCCAAGAGCCAAAGTCTGATTAGGAAGGGTAGAAGGCACCATGGCAAGGTAATCATCCATTGGAAGGGATAACCAAAGCAGCCTGGGCTCGCTTGGGCAGTGAAGACAGAGACGACTTCAAGAGACTCCAAAGGGAGACAGGTTGTGCTTTACTTAGAAGAGTATTAATCATAACACAAGGCTTTTAAGAAGGAACAAGGGTAAAAAGGAAAAAGCTGTGGATCTGAAAATGCATCCTGAGAACAAAACAGCCAAGAAACATGAGTACACTGTTTCCAGTGGTACATGAGTACCACTGGAAACAAAGATTGCTAGAGCAGTCTCAAACAGGAGAGAGAGGAGTGCCAGAGTGCTGCCTGTCACTCTAGCAGGGCAAGATCCCATGGGTATGTGTGGCATGAGCACTGAGTTTTACATGGCAATCCTTTGCCAGTGTTTAGTGGCTAATTGCACCATCCATTTGCAGTCTCAATCAATTATCAGGAGATGACACCATAGTTGATGAAATTCAAATACATCATTTGTTTAACTGCATGCAAAACCCAAGCCCAAAAGATACAAAGGGCAGATAATTTAGTTACTACTCTGGATATGAAAATGCCAGGCATAAACTGGTAATTTCATGCCATAAATGTCACTGATATTCTGGTGCATGATATTGCAATAGCATTTATTTTACATTTAATATTAAAATTGATTTAAGCTTGTCTAACCAGTAATACAGTATGTTCCTGTCTCATTATTAGGGTGCAGTTTTTCATTTTCCCATAGCAGTATTTTTATCATCAGTTCTGTTTTGAATGCTGGTTAAGATTAAAACGACTGTGAATCTGTCATTACAAACAAATATTGCATAACCTAGGTATGGAAGCAGTAAGCTTATTTATATCATTAACGATTTATGTGATTTGAAGACTAAGTATTTATCCTGGATCTTTGGATTGGGCTGGCTAGTGTTCAATAACTAATGCTGTTAATTTTTCTAGGTCACAGAGCAAAAGCAGGTCTTTGCAATCTGCTAGATCTACATATATAAATGATTAAACGCCTTCTAAAAGAACTTCTCAAAGTGTGGGTTAAAAAAAAAGAATGCCGACCTTCAGGATAGCTGAAGTGACCTCTCATTTTTATGGAATTCTTTAGGCAATGATTCAGGGATGTGACAGCTTATCATATAAAAAAGCAAAACAATTTTCAGAGCCTACATGATTTTTAAAAGGTCCGTGAGCAAAAGCTGTTTCACTGAGGTTTGAAATGACGCAGGTGTTCTAAGCAGTGATAGCAATAATCAAAGCTCCTGCAGTGTTTTTCAGCATTGATGTCAAGGTAGTTAGGCAGTAAAGTCCATAGGTAGCAAAGTTCTGTATAGATGTGGAAGTCATTAGCTATAAACCTAGATAATTTTTTCTTGGAAATAGGAAAGCTTAAAGAGGTTGGGTTATGATTCAAGTCACATTGCTGATACAAAAAGATGAAGTAATTGCAAGTGTAATCAGTATTTAGAAGGGGTAGCAATTTTTAAACATCAAAAGCACTAATATTAAAGCAAGCAAAGAAATTTGGGGTGGAGGCAAGTCCTCCATAAAAAATCTAGTTTGCAGGGATTCACTGTGCCACATTGGGCAGAAGTACAGTTCTCTGTATGTTATCCTGGTCGGAAATACCTGATGATTGTTAAAATGTAAGTGCTATGATTCTACAAGCTGGCACCTCCAAAGGGCCTGAACTGCTCTAATGATGATTACCTTTCCTCCCACAGTTCTTAAAGCAGAATGGATGGCAGTTTCAGATTGAATATATATTTTCCATGTGCTGAATAGTTGTTTTTGTTCATGCTGTTTGAGGTTAACTGTGCACGTACTAATCAAACCCACTGCTTCCTTTCTCGTAAAACCAAAACAAAGCTTCATACTACTTTCAGGTACAGCATCTGGGATCAAAGCTATATATACACACTGGCTCTGTGTGGGTTCAAACATTTCGAAGATTCAGTATCCTGAAAGGTGTCACCTCTTTTCCAGTCCTGAGAGTTCCAGCTTGTCTTAAAGCCTAAAGGCATCAGCACCTTCAGCCTGTCCCAGCACAGGAATGCTCTCAATATTGGTCACCGTGGGCTTTCTCTGCACAGCCACTGCCACTGCTGAAGGTGGGTAGATGAAGGAGGCAAGGTATCTGGGGTTGTTGACTTGTTTTCAGTTTCAAGTCCTTGCAGGAGACAGACTTGGTACAACAGGGTGACACACAGGACTAATGGGAGCAAGGTCTTGGTGCACTGCAAGATGTCTGGAAAACCAGACACAGACTTTAGAGCAGTACTATCTGCAGGGACACTGGGCAACATTCAGAGTAGCTCCAGAAGGAAGAAAACGTCTTGAAAAACCAGGTCCTGCAAGTGAGGTTGTGACAGCTGATAACATGGGTATAGGGGTTTGAATGCATGGAGAAATTCTGCTCTTCATCTGGAATTCTTGCATTGCAGAACTGACAAGATAAACCCTGCTCCAAAATGGACTGATATAAAATGAGATTGAAAAAACAATGCTGAGTCTTCACAGCTTACTAAAGCAAAAGACAGTGCCATCTCATCATGTGTCATGATAAAGTATGGAAATTGCAAAAAGCTGTCAGTGAGGTTTTACATGGTACAATAATTTCCCGTTAAGATTTTTTTTGCAGTCTGTTCATCAGGCTTTGTTATGTGCTGTTATATTAGGTTGGGGTATATATTGTTGCTGTGTATACTGTGGCTTGGGAGTGGCTAGTTAAAAGTAAGGAGAGAAAAGATCAGAAACAAAAGTATGCAGACAGATTTTCTATTCAGTTTTACTGCTACCTAAATAATTTTGTTCCATGTTCCATACAGGATGTCGACTTTTTTGTTCCTAAATGTAAATATATTTCTACTAGGCAGAAATTGTGGTTTAAAAGTCTGATTTTAAATTTAAAATTTCAACCTTATCATCTATAGTCTATTTTTTTTTATTATCTTATGTCTAATAAGAAGATGGTGTTGAGGAAAACTGAAGCATGCAAGCCATTTATTACCTAAGGGGCCAAATAACCTACTATTTAAGCAACAAGTAATTGCTGAGATTTATAATATAATTTTTAGTACTCAAAGCATTTCTTGAACTTTTTAAAGAATATTATTGCACTGCTAATGTGAATTGTGGTCCTGGAGTCCCTTCTTTGAAAACAGCATTTCTAGGAATCACCCATGGATAACAGGAGGTGGCAGAACTCCCTTCCTGCTGTACAGGTTTGAAGTAAATGACTCCAGATCCTTTCTTGACTGCTCACTTACCATCACACTCTTTACTTCCTTACAGTAATGGAAGTGACTCAGCCAGCAATTGTGCTGGCCAACAGGCAAGGAGTTGCCAGCTTGGTGTGTAAATACAAGAACATCGGGAATGCAAAGGAAATTCGAGTGACTTTGCTTAAACAGACTGGTGACCAGACCACAGAAATCTGTGCTTCATCATACACCACGGAGTTCGAAACATTCTTTGTGAAAAAGATCATTCAGTGCCATGTTACCCCGGGCCAAAACAATGTGACCCTCACGCTGGCTGGCCTGCAAGCAAATGACACCGGGCTTTACATTTGCAAGATGGAGCGGATGTACCCTCCACCCTATTTCATGAACAAGGGGAACGGCACACATCTCTATGTCATTGGTAAGGCAAGCAGGTTCACAGTACTGGGACACTTCCAAGTTAAGGGAGCAGCTATTACATCTCAAAGGTCTTCAGAGTTCTGTTTGTAAGAAGTGAGGGTGAATACTGGTTTCAGCACTGAAAATCTTGATTAGCTCTTATTTCTTCCAGGTCTCCCTGCAGATGCCCAAAGCAAGCATAGTCATAGCCAAGGAATGAGAGCATAAGCAACACCATGTAGTGTACACCTATGTCTAGGCAGTTAGATACAGAAGTGCAAAAGTCAGAGTAAGGTGTGAGCTCTTCTACAGATAAAAACTCTTTTCACTGGAGGTTGAGTAGGCAGCGACTCAGAGCTCAGTCCGGGTGGTATCCTGGGATAGCACATGCTAGAGAAAAGCAGCGTAGAGACTGACTCACTGACTCTAGGGCCTTCCTTATGAGACTCATGTGTGACGTGACATATGTGATATCATATGTTTTAGATCCAGAACCTTGTCCAGACACTGCCATATACCTCTGGGTATTAGGAGCTACTGCCTCAGGACTTTTTCTTTACAGTGTCATCATCTCAGCCATTCTTGTGGGCAAAGCGGTAAGTCCCATCAACTCAGCCCCCTTCTGCTAATAATACCCCTTTGTGTGATGAGGACAAGGAGAAAGAAATGAGAACAGGGAAGAACACTGTGAACAAACCCACTGGGATGCTCCACTTTGCAAGTGCAATGTTATTACAATAATGCAAAATAAGAGAACTTGCTGGACCTGCTACTTATATTTATTTATGGCTCATTTGTGTTGCCAGCATACTAGAAAGCAGCCAGCTTCCATCAGCTGGACTGAGCCTTGGCTTAGGGCTGGATGCTTAAAACCAGGCAAAATCCTGGATACTTCTGGGAATGAAGGCAACAGTCTTCACGTGTACTCTCTCTTCACAAATGAGTCGCACAAAATCCCAGAATTTAATTTTTTCCTTTTCTCATCGTTCACCTCTGCAAAGCAAATTTAAACAACCTTCTCCTTGGATAGGGGAAGTGTAACTTCAAGCATTTCTTATTTCACAGCTAGAAATGTCTGCACAAAAGTCTGCAAAATGTAAGCCTGGGTTGCCTTTTCCAACAGGGGTGTGCAGCACTCATAGTCTGCTAGAAATGAACCTGAGCTTGAAACCAAACAATGATTTTTCAATCAGTCCTTGTCCCTAGAAGGTAAATGAAGCTGTCAGGTGTGAACACTCCTAGCTTTGAACCATTACTGAACTCTGAAGCAGAAGCACCTTCAAGGAGCTAAATGAATGGCAGGACTCTTTTTTTCCCCTTTGTATAAATAGCCCCTGTACATCCTGATCCTCCATCAAATGCTCTTAACAGATCTTCTATTAAGAAGCAGAGAAAGGTGTCTAGAATACATTCTACTCAGTAAAGGAAGAATATCCATTGGTTTCTCTAAAATGTGCTGCTCAATGATTATGCTGTGTTTGCCTGTTTATTTTACTTTCTTCCCATATGTTACAGATAAAGAGAAGACGATGTCTCACTACTGGAGTCTATGTGAAAATGCCTTCTGAAAAGCTAGAGAAAAAAGTGATTCCATTCCACATCACTGTTAACTGTAACAAGGAAGGAGAGAAACCATTTCCTAGCTGGGATGCAGTGTCTGCTAATTCATTTCAGTTAAAGAAATAAATTAACTGTCTTTTTACAAAAGGCATACAGGAAGGTGAGAGAATATTCTTTGGAACTTCAATGGTTTGGAGGAAAATAAATAGCATATGTATTCATATTTGAAGATTAACCCTATCATATAAAGATGGCTACATTAGGCCATTGACTTTTTTGAGATGTATTGTACCAATATGTAATATATATATATGTAAGTGTGTAGCATTAAGAGCTATTGCTGTTGCAGTTGAGCATCTTACTTAAATTTCATCATGCCTACTGATCAACTTAAATCCAAACACTATTATCACAGAGACTTGTGTGTCATTGCAAGTCTGATCCACAAGTCTGGGGGGAGAGGTAGGAGAGCACACTAATGTACAAAGGAATGTTGACTTTTTTTCCTGCATTGATATTTATTAGTTCCATTTCTGGCATTAGTGCTCTGCACTTCCACAGAGGCCTCCCCATAGGCTGGCACTGATGACACTGCTGCTCTAGAAGCCTGATCTTAGCTCTCTTGAGTAGCATTGTGTCCCAGAAGTGCTGTGATGGAGCTGACTGATGGTCTCTCAGCCAGTGCTGACAGTTGGGTTAGAGAAAAGGCACCAGCAGGAGCCCTCTTGTTGAGAGAATGCTCCAGCTCTGCTGGGGCCTTGTGTTTTACAAATGCTAAATTAGCATCTATCCAAAAGGCAGAAGTATGTTGCTGTATTTAAAAAGTCTATTTTCCATGAAAATACTGACAGTGTATAATCTTGTTTATTAGTTATGTACCATTCAATAAAAACCTTGAAGCTTTGCCCAAATTTGAGTTCATTTCTTGTTCACTATTCTCAGAATAATGAGAAACAGGAAGTGGCTACATGTTAGAAAGCAGAGAAGACAACATGAACCTATCCTCTCTGACCCTGTGTTTTGCCCTTCAGAGACAGCCTGTGTGCTCATGCCAGCACTTCCGTTCTCAGCTTTCCTCCTCAGCCAGCCACCATTACAATCTGTCAGTTCTATTTGTCTAGTTACAGCTGTTGTGCTGTGCTTCAGACACTCTACCAATCATGTTTTCACTTCCATCAGAGCTACTCACTTGCAGAAGGTAGCTTTAATGTCTTTGACAGCACCTCCTGTACATGTTTAAAGAAAAACCTTGTCCTAGTTTCAAATCCTGTTTTCTTTGCACCACTCTGACACTCTCACTCACTAAATGCCAGTCAACACACAAAGCTGCTGGAGCTTAAAACAATTTCAGAATTCTCAGCTACTATCTATTAATATGATTCTTTGCTATCAAAATTTCACCTTGCAATCCAAAACACTGGCAGCATGTGCCTGTTTCACAGCTGTGAATCCATCCTCTTGGCTGCAGCTGTGCAGCCAAACCCCAGAGCCCTTTATTCTATGTTCTTGTAGTGGCAACAGCTCCCAGAACACCAAATCTCATAGCTCTTTTAGCCTGCTTTCCCTCTCTTGCCCATTCATCTGGCACCACCTCCAACTGTGCAAAGACACATTCACATTCTCAATTTGCCAGTGTTTGCAGGTGCTAACTGCTCTCTCAGTGTTGATATACAAGTGCTGCTTTAAGCAAAAGTAGCATCTGATGACTTATCTTTCTTCTCAAGGTATTTTAGTATTCTGACATTAGTCTGGTATTTTCCCCCAATTTTTCACAATCCAGTGTTTCGGGGATAAAAAATGGTAAAAGATCATATATCTATTGTCACTGCAAAATGATTGAACTTCTGCCCTTTGAGGTGCAGCCTGATCAGGCAAGTGTGTTCCATGACTCCATGATGAAAAATAGGTTTGACCCATGGATCCACTTGTAGAAGCTGTAGGAAGCATGAATAATTATCCAGGGCAATTTTTTTCCACCATAGCAAGTAGTGAATCATGTGTCTGAGCTCTAGTCAGGAATCAACTGTTTCTTTTATTTCCTTTCCTTGACAATTTCTCTATACTTATATTTCTTAAACAATCTAAAAGCAGTTCAAGTTCATTATTTTCCAAGCTTATCCCTCCTGCGTGAAGAGATGCTTTGGATCTGTATCCACAACATCATGACATCTGGCCACAACTGGCTGTGAATCTGTGTCACCACAGAACCTGTGCATATTCCAGTTCACCTCTATTTCTGACCATTAAGTTGACCATAACTAGGCCTTCTGCATCCACCTGGACAATTTCCTTTTGGTACACCTGTGTTTCCTTGAGACATTCAGTCTGCAACAACCAGGGAAGAATTCTGCCATAAGTAACTAACAGGTTACTAAAATAGCTGAATTGTGAAGGTCTTGTGAGAGCAGAACAGAAACAATAGTCTTACATATGGTAGTAGCAACATTTTGTGTTTGCCTCCTGCACTTAAATAATTATTGATGCTTATTAATTATCTTATTAATCTCTAAAATTATGGTGTTTATTAATTATCTTATAAGAAATTATTTTGCCCAGATTCTCTGTTCTGATCTTCTCTTCATCCTTAGTTGTTACTATTTCCAACCTTCTCTTGTTTCTGTAGTGCTTATTTTTCTTTGGCTTTCCTTACCACTGAGCAGAATGTTATATAATGCTTTATTACTTTTTGTTCTAAGCCAGGTTCCCCTTTTGAATTTTCTGGCAGGGTAGTAGGTGCACTCAAATCAGCAGATGTGGCAGTGAAGACCAAAGTGAGATTTCAGTTCAGATTTTATTGACAATCATATTCTCATCATTCATATCTGGCACTACAGAGATGAGTGGAGCCTAAGTACCTGCAGAGATGATATTTATACCTACCTCCCTATGGTTCATGTAGCAGCTAGCTCTGGTGAGGGAAGAGCCCAGACCTCAGGAAATTTCCATTGTCCTGTATGCTTCCCAGAACCTCAAGGTCTGTGCTTTTCCCTGATAGCCGGGAGAAGCATCTTTCACTATCAGCACTCCAAAATTGTTGTATGTACGAGTCAAATAAATTGTTCTGTGAGATTGCAGCAGTGCCAAAATGAAAGGTGAAAATGCTAGATCAGTGTACATCCCAGAATATGCAATAAAGAGGAAACCATGACTCTTTCTGGGAAAAATGTGCAAAGCAAAGATGAAAGGATTTGGTCTCAGAACTCTGCTCATTAGAACGGGGAGTTTTAAAACACAACCAAGTATCTTACCTGGACAGCCAAATTATGAGACCATACTGCTTGGTGAGGTTCAGGAAGAGCTTCTTTTGATGCGCTCTTCACCTCTTTAGGAGATCTGTCGGCCTGTTTGTGAAACAGAGAGTGTGAGTTTCTGGCTGGATGGGTGGGAATTCACAGGTATACAGGTCTGCATCAAAGACAATGGCATATGCATGCACCACTCCCAGCTCCCAATATTCTACTTTCATTTTCATCCACTTCTTTATCTGAACTATTTTTTTCCTTGTCATTTTCAAATTTCAGAGTCCTATCTGATAGAGAAAAACCTATGAAAAAGGTTTCCCACACAGCTACTCTGTGAGTAGGCAATGAGTAGTCTATCATTTTAGGTTTAGAGATTCCCCACTCTTTGAAGGAATAAATCTGAACTCACTACTCTGTCAGGCCTTGATGTCTGTAGGGAAAGTCCATTAATGCCATTTTCCACAGATACTTAACAAATTTTAACAAAAATCATCAAGGACTCCTAGGTCATGCAAGAGCAGACACTTTTGACCTATTGCTATCTTTCCTAATGTCCTGACTTTTGCTCAAGACTCCCTTGGGTCTAATTTCTTGTTTTCCAATAACCAGTGCTGGCATTGGCCAGGTAACTCCTAACAGATTTGATACAATTCCTGGCTTCAGTACTGATTTTGAGCTTTGCAGGTCCAAAGAGTGTGAGTATGTGTGTGGGGAACTGAGGTAAAGTTTGGAGGCAAAGTACCTTGGAAGGTAAGATATAACAGGCTCTCACTAGATAAAAGCTATTGCTGGGGAGCGAGTTCTGAAAAATCAACCAGAAAATGCATGATTTTGCCTGTGACAGAAACAGTCTGAACCATGACTAAAGAGCTCTCCCTCTAGGAGAGGCATAAACAGGAATCAGATGATGTATCCAAGAGTTGTAACAGGAAATACAAACCAAAGAAGGCTGGTCCATAGCAGATGGATTTATGCATTACTGAAACCAATTTATTGTTGACATTTGCAAACTACATTCTTGCTTGAATATGGAAAAGTTATTTTGAGGTAGCTTCTATCACAGCTAAGCAGTGGGGCCCCTGCACATAACAGTTATTGATAAAAGGTCTTAGAAATTACAGGAAGGGGATTTATAAAAATTGTGCCTGAAGGCAGATTAAAAATTTTTGTTGTTTACTAGAGGGGGGAAGCAAGGAAAAGTTTGGGAAAGGAACAAAACTTCATTGGGAATCATTAGTAATTGCAGGCGAGGTAACATGGCAGATGTTTCCATGAACTAAAAGATTGCTACCTCCTCAAAATTTCACTATTCTTTCCTTTTTTGACTTTTCAAACATAATTCTATTTCTATTTCTATTTTTATACCAAGCTGCCTTAATCACAGTCACATTTTTATATTTCACTGAACATTTTTTAGTGATTATGAAGTTTCAGTTGAACAAAAAGATCTCAGTTTCTTCATTGACGGCTTTTCCTCTTCATTCTTTTCTGACTGCTGTTTTTAAAGAGTAGCATATGAAAACGTCTAGTTTGGTCTGCTTCATTCAGCAAAAGCAAGACCTTGCTTTCAAAGAAAATGGAATTTCTCACATAATTACATGATTCCACTAGGTGATACTTTTAGATGACCACATCCTCTAACAGCACAGATGATACAACTGGGAAAACTTGAAACAGGGTAACATCTGTTGGACTATGCTGTGTTGTGGGTGGGATTTACTAACATTCATGGTCTAGCCTGTGATGCAGCAGCTTGGGTGGAAAGCTGGAACAAGCAGCAGAGTGCTTTATTCTTCCCAGACAGATCAGTGCCTGGGATCTAGGTTTTCTATAGGATATGAATATTAAAGTTTGGGCCAAGATTGCCACTGACATGAAAAATATAGGATTGTTGGTTTTATATAAATAAAAATATATACACTGAGCAAATACTCCATTTTTTTTCAAACTAGAAACTCAGTAGCCAGACCCCAAAGACTCTTATAGTTCAGTATAGACAGGCAAAAAATTAATCCTGTTCTATATTCAATGGGTGATTGTTATCTTACTACACATTAGTCTTGTCTGTAGTGTT